CCTGGCCCAGCATTGGCTATTGTGGCCATCTGGGGAGCGAACCAGTGGATGGAAGATTTTTCTCTATCTGTCTCTCCTTTCTCTCTGTAATTCTAACCTTTAAAAGGTCTCCCACATGGACGGCAGGGACACAGATACTTGAGCCAGCACCTGCTGCCTTGCAGTTGCACATTGACAGGAAGCTGAAATCTGAAGTGGAGCTAGGACTTGAATACAAGTACTTCTCTATAGGATGCAAGCATCTCAATTAATCTTCTGAAACTATAGCAAGTTTTGTGGGCCCAGAGAGCAAAAACTAATGAAATAATGAATCTATACAATGAGCGATCGTATGTGGCTATTAACATCACAAGAGGAAAGACAACCAAACCATAATATGCTACCCAATGAAAGCTACAACTGTTGATAATGTAGTGCTTATCAAAAAAATCTGAGATTGGGAGAGGGCCTTGTAACACAGGGGATTAAGCCACCACTTGGGGCCCTGCATCTCCTATCAGAGGGCCTGGGCTCAGTTTCCACTTCTGTTTCTGATCCAGCTTCCTGTTAATGCGCACCCTGTGAGGCATTGGATGATGGCTCAGCACTTGGGCCTGCCATGGGTTTAAGAGAAGCAGATGGAGTTCCTGCCTCTAGGCTTCGGCCTGGCCCAGCCCTGGCTGTTGTGGTCACATGGGAAGTGTACCAGCTACTGAAAGATCTCTCAGTCTCTCTCTTTCTCTGTTGCTCTTCCTTCCAAATAAAAATAAACAAAATAAGCTTTTAAAGATAAATCTGAGGCGGAGTCTGATCAAGCCTCTCTTATCATCAGTTCACAGGAATAAAGGAGTCAAAAGCACACATTCAATTATGCCATGAGGATGAAATTAGCAAAAATCCTGGAATGAAGAAATTCTGTGGGACAATCAACACAATTTCTCCAACAAATTATTTCAAGGACTAGAAGAGAGGAAGAAAAAAAGTATATATGTGTGTGTATATATATGTATGTGTGTATATATATATATATCTCAAAAGAAACATATATAATTACAACAAACGGCCTTTTGTTGGATCCTGATTCAAGCAAATATACTGAAAAACATTTTATGGGAAGACCAGGACAATCTTGGGATACATATTTAGCCCTGCAGTTGAAACACCAGTTAAGACAGCTGTGTCCCGCATCAGAGAACCTAGATTTGATTCCCGACTCCAGTTTCCTGCTAATTCAGAGCCGAGGAGGCAGTGGTGATGACTCAAGTAACGGGGTTCCTGCCGCATATGTGGGCTAATCTGAATTGAATTCTCAGCTCCTGGCTTCAGCCTGGCCCAGTCCAGGCTGCTGTGGGCCTCTGGGGAGTGAATCAGTGAATGGAAGCTCTCTCGCTGCCTCTGTCTCTCTGGCTATCAAATAGATAAATTCATTTTTTGAAATCAGGGAAATCTGAACATTAATTTGGATAGACACTGATATTAAGAAACTCTTAATTCCTTTTCATTATCATAATGGCATTTTGGATAAGTTTTCCTAAAGAGTCTTTATGTCTTGGAAATGTATACTGAGGGCCTGGCACTGTGAAATAGCGGGTAAAGCCATGGCCTGCAATGCCACCATCCAATATGGGTGCCAGTTCAAGTCCTGGCTGCCCCACTTCTGATCCAGCTCCCTACTAATGTGGCTGGAAAAGCATCAGAGGATGGCCCAAGTCCCTGGGCCCCTGCGCCCATGTGGGAGACCTGGAAGAAGCTCCTGACTCCTGGCTTCAGATCGGCTCAGCTCCGGCTGTTGCAGCCATTTGGGGAGTGAACCAGCAGGTGGAAGATCTCTCTCTCTGCCTCTCTGTAACTCTTTCAAATGAATAAATAAATCTTTTTTTAAAAAAAAAAAAGTACTGATTTTTTATTTAAAAAAAAAGAAATGCATACTGAAAAAATGTATGGAAGAAAAATACGAGGACAGGCGCTTGCTTCACAATAATATGGGAGGGGAGAAGTTGTAAGCAAAATTAAGCTGGCCATGTGCTAATACTTGTTGGAGATTGATACTATGCATGTGAGTTAATTATGCTATTCAGTCAGTCAGCAGGTATTAAAAGTTTCCATAATGCCGGCACCGCGGCTCACTAGGCTAATCTTCCGCCTTGCGGCGCCGGCACACCGGGTTCTAGTCCCGGTCGGGGCGCCAGGTTCTAGTCCCGGTTGGGGCACCGGATTCTGTCCCGGTTGCCCCTCTTCCAGGCCAGCTCTCTGCTGTCGCCAGGGAGTGCAGTGGAGGATGGCCCAAGTGCTTGGGCCCTGCACCCCATGGGAGACCAGGAGAAGTACCTGGCTCCTGCCATCGGATCAGCGCGGTGCGCCGGCCGCGGTGGCCATTGTAGGGTGAACCAACGGCAAAGGAAGACCTTTCTCTCTGTCTCTCTCTCTCTCACTGTCCACTCTGCCTGTCAAAAAATAAAAATAAAATAAAATAAAAAAAGTTTCCATAATAAAAGGTTTAAAAAGAGTTATAAGAGAATGTAATTAATCACACTTCAGTGTACTGTCAAGTACTTGAAAAGTATTACATTTTCCTTAGGCTTGTTTTCCCCAGCTAAATACCAAATACATAAACTCCCCAGAACTGTCATGGTGGGTCCTTTAATGGTTTGCCGCCAACACTGGTGACTCAGGGGAAACGAAATCTCTTTCCTTCTCGGGCCCCCTAACATCCACAGACAAAACCCCACTGATTTCCCTACTCGTGTCTGGTCTGGTCTGGCTTGGACAACCAGTGAAGGCTCCAGAGTGGGTTCTACGGCTGGAGTAGGGGCTCCAGGGGTCACTTCCATGCTAGGAGGCTGGGAGCTGCTCTTACCTTTTAAAATGTAGTCCGTTAACAAAGTAGGCACCTTCTCATTATCCTCCTTCATGGCAAAGAGAACTAGGAAATGAGAGGAGAGATGAGTCAAGACAGCATGGGTCACACAAAGGGAGTGAGAAAAGCGGCAGTGGAACCAGACGCTCGCTGAGAATTCAGCAAAAGTCTGTAAACCCCCAACGTGGCAATGCAGGAGAAGCCATCCAAAGAGCTCAGGGGTTGTCGCGGGTGGTGGACCTACTGGTAACTTTATTTTCTTTTTTTATTTTACTTTTTCTTGGGGGGGATCATCTATAATATCCATAGCTATTCATATCTTTAACAATCATGCAGATTAATAAAGAAGGCCATTCTTAAACCAAGAATCAATTTTCAGATACAATCTAAATGCTAAGACTTGTAGTTTTCAATCACTGAACCCCCAATAAAACTGGCTTTAAACACATGCTACTCATTTAAATGGACATTTGAAAAATTCCACCTACAATTTATTGAAAACAAAAGAAGCTAATGTAAAAAATATTTGTTTTCTATTTTATTTGTTTTTTTTTTTAATTTTATGCCCATTACAGTGATAGAATTTGTAGAGATGGAAAAGGACTATGGATACTCAAGAAGCCCACAGACTCCTGCTGCAACAGTACATGGCCTAAACATGAAGCACAAGGCCTAAGAACTTTCTTAAAAGCTTTTCATAAATATTTTAAATTAGCTTTTGCTGTGATTAAACTAAGGAACATCTCAATTCATAGTGTATTTTGTAGAAGTCAACTTTGTAGAAAATGCTTTCAGGAAGTATCTTATTTATCATATCAAAAGGGGGTATCCACCAACAGAATCCTTCAATAAACGTCCTTAAATAAACTGTGCTTTATTCAAGACAGTCTTAGATAGCCTTGCAAAAACTAAGGGAGGGGGAGGTGTTTAGCCATCCCATATGGACACTGATTCATGTCCCGGCTGCTTGTCTTCTGATCCAGCTCTCTGCTATGGCCTGAGAAAGCAGTAGAAGATGGTCCAAGTCCTTGGGCCCCTGCACCCACGTGGGAGACCTGGAGGAAGCTCCCGGCTCCTGGCTTCGGATTGGCCCAGCTCTGACTATCAGGATTGAGTTCCTGGCTCCCAGCTTTGGTCACAACTCAGCCCCTGCAATCATGGACATTTGGGAAGAAACCAGTTCTCTCTGTCCCTCTGTCTCTCAAGCAAGTAAATACATTTTTAAAATTATATGTATGTATTTATCTATATATATGACATTTCTATCAATGAAGAAAGAAGATTTCCAAACATGTGCTAACTTTATAATAAATAAATTTTAACATGCATAGAAATATCCAGAAGAACTGTACATGAAACTGTTCACTGTTAATCTCTGAGTGTGAGACTATAGGGGAGGCTCCTTTCTATGTATATTTCCATAATGTCTGACTTTTCTCAGTGAACATGGACAAGGGGTCTTCAGAAAGCTCATGAAAAACCATATGGATTTCAAAAATTATTTGCACCAAAACAATTTTATCTTTTAATTATATTTTTCTATGAGCATTTTGAAGCCCCCTCATATTACTATTTCTTTTAAAGATTTGTTTATTTAGGGGCCAGCGTTCTGGCATAGCAGGTAAAGCTGTTGTCTGTGATGCCAGCATCCAATATACACTCCAGTTCAAGTCCTGGCTGCTCCACTTTCAATCCAACTCCCTGTTAATGGCCTTGGAAAGGCAGTGGAAGGGCCCCTGCCACTCATTGGAAGAACCAGAAGAAGCTCCTGGCTCCGGGCTTTGGCCTGGCCCAGCCCCAATCATTCCAGCCATCTGAGGAATGAAGCCCCAGATGGAAGATTTCTCTCTTTCTTTGTCTCTCTCTCTGTCACTCTGATTTTCTTTTTTTTTTTTTTTTTTAAGATTTATTTTATTTTAACTTAAGATTTATTTTAACTCTGAAAGACAGAGTTACAAAGAGAGGTAGAGACAGAGAGAGAGGTCTTCCATCCGCTGGTTCACTCCCCAGATGGCCGTAGTGGCCAGAGCCGAGCCGATCCGAAGCCTGGAGCCAGGAGCTTCTTTCAGGTCTCCCATGTGGGTGCAGGGGCCCAAGGACTTGGGCCATCTTCTACTGTTTTCCCAGGCCATAGCAGAGAGCTGGATCAGAAGAGGAGCAGCCAGGACTTGAACCAATGCCCATATGGGATGCCAGCACTACAGGCCTGAGCTTTAACCTGCTGCGCCACAGCACCAGCCCTGTTACTCCGATTTTCAAATAAATAAGTAAATCTTAAATATATACATATTTATTTATCTTTGAAAGATAGAGTGACAGAGAGAGAGAAAGAGAGATATCTTCTATCCACTGGTTCATTCCCCAAATGTGCACTAAAGCCATGGCTTGACCAGGCTGAGCCAGGAGCCTGGAACTACAACCCAGTTCCCAAGTGGATGGCAGAGGCCCAAGCACTTGGACCACCTTCTGCTGCCTTCCCAGGCACATTAGCAGGGAGCTGAATGGGAAATGGACTCCAACCAGTGCTCATATGGGATGCCCATATGGACATATGGGTGCTCATATGGGATGCCCCTGTCACAGATGGTGGCTTAACCTGCTGGGCCACAATGCCAGCCCCCTCTTCATGTGACTTTTGGAAACAGAGAAGACAATGAAGTTCAGCTGGCACTGATAGCCAGGGTCATAAGGCAACAGTGACTCCAAGGGATCCCCAATTCCTTCCCATGTCCTTACCCCCCAGGTTGGTTACCTTGCCCAAGGCAGGGTGATACAACTTGAATGCAAATACCAAGAATGGGATAGGAACAGAGCCCTTCGGTGGCACAAGGCAGTGACCAGACCCAGAAAAGAAAGAGACAAACCCAGAGAGCCTCCAGGTGCTGGTCTTTTCCTTCTTATTTCTTCCATAATTTCAGACACATATTCATTTCTACTTGGTGGCTAGGCATATTCTGCAACTGGCTAAATGCTATACCAAGAAAATAATCATAAAAACATAATAGTTGAACTCATCAATATGTATCTAAATTGGTCTCAAAAATCTACGGCCAGTGCTGTGGCACAGTGGGTTAGGCCACTGCTTGTGACTTCTCTGTGGGTATGTTGGTTTGCGTCCCGGCTTCCTGCTAATGTGCCTGGGAAGGCAGCTGAAGGTTGACCCAGGTACTTGGGCCCTTGTCCCCCATGTGGGAGACCTAGATGAAGTTCCTGATTTCTGCTGACTTTAGCCTGGCCCAACTCTGGCTGTTGCAGCTATTTGGGAAGGGAACCAGTAGATGAAAGATATTCCTTCCTCTCTCTCTCTCTCTCTGGTTGTCAAATAAATAAATAAATAAATCTTTAAAAAAAAAATTCCCAAACTTACATGGATGGCGCAGCTGCAGGAGCTGGTCTTTGGCCTATGTCTCTGATACAAGGAGGTGGTAAGGAAAGAAACACTGTTCACAAATGCATGCAAAAATTTGCTAAGGGCCTGGCATGGTGGCCTAGCAGTTAACACAAACAAAAGAATAAAACAGCAGGTGCAGAAGGGCACCTGACTCAAAATCCCCATGTGGAAGATCACCTTCCTATGCTAGCTGGAAAGTAACATCAAGAATCGGAAACTCCGGGCCAGCACTGTGGACAATGGGTAAAGCTGCCACCTGTGGCACTGGCATCCCATTGGCGCCAGTTCAAGTCCTAGCTGCTCCACTTCTGATCCAGCTCCTTGCTAATGTGCCTGGAAAAGCAGCTGAAGATGGCTCAAGTCTTGGGCCCCTGCACCTATGTGGGAGACCCAGAAGAAACTCCTGGCTTCAGATCGGCCCAGCCTTGGCCATTGCAACCATTTGGGAAACGAACCAGTTGCATGGAAGATCTGACTCTCCCTCTCTCTCTCTGTCTGTAACTTTGCCTTTCAAATAAATAAATAAATATTTTTTTAAAAAAGAAATTGCCAAAAAAGAGAGCTCTCCTACAGAATCAGTATTCAGGCAAGATGGTAGTTTTCCTTTTAAAAGGAATAAAACTTCAAAGTGTATTCCATCCACGTGATAGAAGAGACAGCCATAAAATAAATGTTAACCAAATGTGAACTGCTGTGACTAAAATCATGATACAAAATTTTATAGCCAGGATAATCCCAATGATAAAGAAAAGATATAAAATATGATGGCAGGAAACCACAAAGGTAGCCACAGTGGAGTGGGCAATAAATTATTTTTCTTTGTTCACTTCTCCACATTTCCGAAGTTCTCTCCGTGATGGATGCACTTGAGCTGTGATTTTTAAAATCAAATCAAATGATGTCAACAAACCCACTCAAACAGAAACAAACCTGCTTCTTCATGAAAACAAAAGGGTTTCACACTGAATTCCTGAGCGGGTATCTGTAACAAATGAATAGCCATTCCTTTTGCTTAAGACCATGATGAAGTACTTCACCTCCATCAACCCTTGTAGCTTGCCCAAATTATTTTTCTAGTACGTACCGCCGTGAAAACACAGACACCTATATTACGTCAGTCCATCTCTATGTGCTCCCTTCAGAAAAATTATAGAGCATATTTATGTAAATAAAGGAGTCTGAAATGAGTCAGGAGTACAGCAATGTACTTGGAATTTAAAATTCCTGATTCTCAGGGATGCAGGTTCTTTGCCAGAACCTATGGCATTCACTCCCCACATGGATAAAAAAGAAGACTACTGGTCACCTTGACAGTGGGCCCAGAGGAACACAGGCCCCCGTCCCTTCCCACGAGCTGTCCAGTGGCCCCACGCGGCCCCTCCTCCCCCCAGAGCAGCCTGCGGGATACTGGACCCCCTCCTGAGCTGCCATTTTCCATGGTGCTTGGTTGCCAGGGAAATCCAATTTCCCTTGTGATCACAGAGCCCTGACCTAGGATTTTTTTCTTCCTAAGAGAGCCACGCTGATGCTGATGGCTAACACCACACACCCCCTGCCCTTTGGGGGAAGGACTGGTTAATGTTTATAAAGAGATTCTTGCCTATCTTTCCCGTCAGCCTGATCCCCACCACGAAACCTTGGTTCTTGGTAAAAAAAAAAAAAAAAAAAAAGGCAGTCAGGCCCATGGACTGAGCTCCCTCCTCCAGAGACACAGTGCAGACCAAGCAAGGGACGGGGAGGAGGGAGAGACGGCCGAGGCCGAGAGGAACTCACTGTTGGTCAGCATCTGCAGGTCTTCCACGGACGGGGGAGAGGCTTTCTTCTCATAGGGAATGACTGTGTTCAGGTACTGCAAGACAAACAGGGCACACGGCCAAGACGTAAGGCACGGCCCCCCCTCCCCCTGGGTGGGAACCGTGCTTTTCTCTAAGACACACCTGGCATTCTCCACGACCCTCGTGGTCACCGGCACCCCAGTATTTCAGGATGTCTCCCCCACCTTCGGGTGGGGCGCCCCTTTCACAAAAGCGAGACTTTCCTGTCTTCAACCAGGAACACTTCCCTGCATCCTGAATTCCACGTGCTTCCTGCCCTAGAAACTCTGGCTGTGGAGGAAGCCTGGGGGGTTCTCCCCTAGGCTGACAGCAGGCAGCATCTCCAGGGGGGTTATGTTTTCTTATCCTTTGGGGCGCAATTAGAGAAGGAATTGTTTCTCTTTTAGGTCAACAATTGAGGGGCAAGAGAACCTCCACAGGCCCAGGGTCGTCGATGTTGGATTTGCTCCCTCTGCTGGATGTGAGGTGTTCCTACAACAAAACCTGCAAGGTCGGGTCCAGTAGAACAGGCCCAAGAGGACGTCAAAGACCCTCAGGCCAGAGAGACCCTGATGGGTGCTAAGGGGGCCTGCGGGGGTAAGAGACAAGTAGCACAGATATCAAGAGGCTTCTGTTCCAGTCTTGGCTCTGCCACCAGCAGCACTGGCCTTGAGAAAATGTCTCATTTCTTTGTCCTCGAATCCCACCCCTATGCAAGGAGAGGCCTGGATTATAAATTCCCAAAATCTCACCCCAGATTGCAGCTCTAGAATTCTAACACCTAGGATTCAGCCACAGATATATTTAAAAGACATATACATTTCATGGGCACTTATTCCGCTGTCTCTAACTTGTCTGCTCCTACACTGGTTGTGCCGCTTAGCTTTTGCACCCCAGGAGGGCTGGGAGCAGGACCGTCACCTCGGACCCTGAGGGGTTCGCCACAGAGCTCAGCACATAACAGGCGTACAGTATCGTTGTGCAGCTGCCTTAATAACCAGGCACACAAGCTGCTTCGTCGGCAAGTTATTGACTAAACGGAGCCAACGAGGAGATGCCGCAGCATGGGTTACAGTCGGAGCAGGGTGGCTGATGAGGCAGTCTTGGTGGTATTTGCTCAGCTGGTGATCCAACGTGCTAGAATTAATTAAACTCTAGGAAGGGATCTCCCACCACAGCATCCTCTTTTAGTGCCTTCTGTCCTGAAGACAAATTAATTCATAGGTCTACAAGCAGTGTCAGACTGTAAGTTCTGTCCATGTCCCAGAATACCAGAGCTCAAAAAAAAAGCAGGGACAGGTGTTGGGGGCAACGGTTATGACACTGCTTGGGACACCCGCCTTCCACATCTGCTGAGCGCCTGTGTTTAAGTCTTTGCTTCCTGCTGATGCACACGCTGGGAAACAGCAGGTGATGGCTCAGGTGGTTGGGTCCCTGCTACCTATCTAGGAGAGCCAGACTGATCCAGGCTTTAACCTGGCCCCACCACAGCTGCTGCCAGCATTTGGAGAGTATACCAGCAATGGGAGGCTTTTCTTCCTGCCTGCCTGCCTGCCTCCCTCCCTCCCTCCCTTCCTTTTCCTTCTTTCCTTTCCTTTCCTTTTCTTTCTTTCTTTCTTTCTTTCTTTCTTTCTTTCTTTCTTTCTTTCTTTCTCTCTCTCTCTCTTTCTCTCTCTCTCTCTCTTTCTCTCTTTCTTTCTCTCTCTCTCTTTCTTTCTTTCTCTGTATCTGTCTTTCAAATACATTAAAAGATGGATAACTTTAAAAAAAGTAACGTTTACCTTTTGAAACGGTACTTTATATTCCAAGTGACACAAAATGCTAGGACCTTCCCCTTGCTGGGATACGCCCCAGATCCTGGGCTAAGCCTTGTTGGCCACCATTGCCACGTTGTTGGGGAGGCCATGTTGCAAGGGTCTGGGAGAAGAGCCGGGAGCGGGGAGAAAACGCGTACCTGTTTGTCGGTCCCTGAGGAGCCAAAGGTCTGGCGGATGCCGCTTTGCAGGATGTTGGAGATGCCCTCCATGCTGAAGCGCTGCAGGACAGAGACACTCAGGAGGGACATGGCCTTGCTGCTCCCACCCCCAGGGACTCCTGTGTCCTCACTGAACCATCCACACCCCTCCCCTCCCCCGGCTACCATGCTGTCCCCTAGACTCTGAGATTTGGAAGTAAATTTAAGACCTTGGCTAGGCTGGCACCGCGGCTCACTAGGCTAATCCTCTGCCTTGCGGCGCCGGCACACCAGGTTCTAGTCCCGGTAGGGGCACTGGATTCTGTCCCGGTTGCCCCTATTGCAGGCCAGCTCTCTGCTGTGGCCCGGGAGTGCAGTGGAGGATGGCCCAAGTGCTTGGGCCCTGCACCCCATGGGAGACCAGGAGAAGTACCTGGCTCCTGCCATCGGATCAGCGTGGTGCGCCGGCCGCGGCGGCCATTGGAGGGTGAACCAATGGCAAAGGAAGACCTTTCTCTCTGTCTCTCTCTCTCACTGTCCACTCTGCCTGTCAAAAAAAAAAAAAAAAAAAAAGACCTTGGCTAGAATTTAAGCCTAAGCTTTGCAAGAATAGAGTAGTCTCAAAGACTCTTATCTTAGTAAGACCCTCAGGGCTACAAGGCTCTCTGCAGCCCCCAGTCTTCCTCATTTGATTCTCTACGGTATAAATAGAAAAAGAAGGCAGAACAGTAAAACTCAGTTGTACGATGATGCCGAGATCTTAGGGGAACACAGATCGTCTGGCTACCAGAAAGGGTTTAAGCATTTGTCCTGATCTGAGATGCTTCTTTCCAAAATGCACACACCTGGATCTAGGTCAGTGGCCCTGGGGCAGAGCCCAGGCAAAAGTATTTTGAAAAAGCTCCTCCTTAGGTGATTCTACTGCACTCCTCTGATGAAGAGCCAGTGGCTTGAAGAATCCCATGAATAAACCAATAAGGCACCAAGACCCCTTCCCTACCAACACCTTACCTACCCCTTGGAAGACCAACCCCTGCGCCACCCCTGATTAGACAGTCAGGGCTGTAATCTGTGCCCAATGCAGAGCTCCCAGGCCTTCACCCATCTCCAAGGTGTTGACCGCAGAGAACACGGTGCCACCTTCAATCACACTTCAATGTTTCCGCCCTATCTCCTCCCATTAGGCTGGGAGCCCTCTCTGGGAGTGGAGGTGACAGGCAGCACCTCTCTCTCTCTCTCTCTCTCTCTCTCTCTCTCTCTCTGAGTTCCTGCTCACGAGCCCGCCGTGGGGTTGGTACCAGGACTGAAAGGGCTGGGGCCGGGGCCGGGCACCCGGCTTCCCGGTGGGGCTGCTCACGTACCTTGAGCGGCATCTGGCTTCCCTTCTCTATCCGGCTGCTCTGCAAGCTCAGCCCTTTCTCTTTCCGCCTCTTTTTCATCAGTTCTCGCTGCTCCTTCTGCTTGTTCTGCACTTCGATAAGCACCGTGATGAAGGAGTTCTTCACCTCCTTCTCAAACTCCAGCTCGTCCCGGCGGGCCAGCTGCTGCACCAGCTCCTCCGAGAAGTCTCGGATGGCCCCCTCCACCTGGTCCAGCAGCTCGGTCAGCTCTGACCCAGACATGTGCCTCAGCCCTGCAGGGGAAGAGCACCCTGCAGGTGACACGGCAGCCACATCCTGCCTGAGCCCACTGGAGAGGGGACTGCCCTTCAGAGAGACCCCTAACCACTCCTAGAGGCCCAGGCAAGACCTTCCTGATTTGAGGGCAGGCCAGGAAGGCAGGGGCCCAAATATCTGTGGAAGAGAATGCCATTCCCAGGACACAAGGAGGCAGGCAGCCTCCAAGGAAGCCTGTGGACTCTGGGCACAAAAACGTGCTGGACAGACATGAGGTTTTTTGATCTCCTGTTCTTCCTGTTTTCTCTCCATCTCCAGAATATTCCTCATGTGAAATGGGTCAAGAATCGAGGGAGAGAAGGCAGAGAGATTTTCTGTGCTGAACGGCAATAGAGAAGTGCTTATCCCCAAGAAATGATCTACCCCGAGCTGACAACAAAATCATCAGGCCTCTTTTCCAATCACAGACCTGGGCCACAGTGCCCATATTCAAATGCTTAGGAAACACAAGGATGGCCGGCGCCGCGGCTCACTAGGCTAATCCTCCACCTTGCGGCGCCAGCACACCAGGTTCTAGTCCCGGTAGGGGCACTGGATTCTGTCCCGGTTGCCCCTCTTCCAGGCCAGCTCTCTGCTGTGGCCAGGGAGTGCAGTGGAGGATGGCCCAAGTGCTTGGGCCCTGCACCCCATGGGAGACCAGGAGAAGTACCTGGCTCCTGCCATCGGATCAGCGCGGTGCGCCGGCTGCAGTGCACTGGCCATGCCGGCCATTGGTAAGTGAACCAACGGCAAAGGAAGACATTTCTCTCTGTCTCTCTCTCTCTCTGTCCACTCTGTCTGTCAAAAAGAAAAAAGAAAAAAAACACAAGGAAGACTGGCGATGTACAAGGGGAAATGAAGCCGCTTCCAGTCAGCACAGAGCAGTCTGCTACTTTGAGAGACAGGGAACTTGGAGGGGGCAGTGTGGCATAGCAGGTTAAGCAGTGGCTTGAGACCCCCTCCTCCACCAGCACCACCTGTATCAGACAGCCAATTCAAGCCCCCGCTACTCTGCTTCCAATCCATCTCCCTGCTGATGTGCCTGGGAGGCAGCAGATGATGGTGCAAGTACATGGGTTCCTGCCACACTTGTGAGAGACCCCAGTGGAGTTCTTGGCTCCTGACTCGGCCTGACCCAGACCAGGCATTTGGAGAAAGGTGAACCAGCAGATGGAAGATCTCTGTCTATCCCTCTTTCTCTATTGCTGTGCCTTTCAAATAAAGAAATAAATGCTTTTTAAAAAGAAAAGGGACCTGAGACCACCATGGGAACAGGTAACTTTAACTTCTTGTCCCCCTATGACTTCTTGTTTGAAAATAGATTTGGGGAACATCTCTTAAACGTAGTTCCCATTTAACGGTATCTTTTCTTTTTAACTGAGAACCCATTTTTCCTTTGCCTTTCCCTTTCTGCTTTGCCTAGATATTTGCTGACTTGGCTCAAGCTTCCCTTTATTTTGCTCTTGGGAGATGTCCTCCTCCTCCTGTTTGTTTTTTGCCATTTCACTCTGCATCTCAGCTGTTTCCATGGGCCCTTTCTGGACACTTGCATGTTTGGGGCCTTTGTGTGGCTGAGAATGGCCCGATTGGGGCGGCTGTGAATGCAGCAAGCAAGGCCTTCAGCCAGATCCACTGCTTTGCCCACGGCCGGCCGGCCTCCTTCTGCAGCCACACCCAGCCTCTGCTCCCAGAGCCACCGGGAGTGTCTCAGGAGGAAGTGTCTGAGACGGACCTGGGCCAGGCAGGCAGGCAGGGAGGGTCAGAGAGTGCGCCCTGTGCACCGCCCAAATCCCATTCAACATGGCTGAAGACCCTCAGCACGCTCCCTGCCCACCACGCAGCCAAGCCTCACTTTCCACCACGCATCAGACACCAGGACACTTTCCAGGGCTCCCAGGTGCACTGCAGCCCCAGCCTAAACTCTGCCTCCTGTGAACATTCAGGCAGGCCCTGCCCAAGCACCACCCTTTATCTTACACTTTGTCACACTGGGTGGGGGCAATGCAATCATGTCTGAGTACCTACTCTCCCTTTGCCTTTCCATAAATCTCGCTTTTCTGCTCACCTCTGTCTACGTCTCCCAGTTGGATACTTATACACAGGAAGACAAGAACCCAGGCTATGTCTAGCCAAGGGTCTTTCCAAGCCTAGTCAGGGCTCTCAATCCCCACAATGTAACTCAGGGGTCCCTAAACCCAGAACAGGACCACAGCTCAGTTGTTACCACTTCTATCCCGTGTTCAGACTTTTGTACCCCGACCAACTCACCTTCTCTGTGGTTCCCAAGTCCCCATCAGCCTGCTAGGTAGCAAGGTAGGTATTAGCTTGTGTGTGAGAGGTTAAAAGAGGGGAGAAGCTCAGAAGCAGCCTCGGAAGCAGGCCAGCATCTGCACATCAACAGCCTTGCCCTTGTTCCATGACCTTGTCAGGTGGGTCCCAGTGCTCCCTGGGGGTGGGGTAGGGGCGGCTCAGGGGACTCTTTTCTATCCTGGGCCAGGGGGCTGATAGGTCCACTAGCACAGTGCTTGCAAACCCCTAGGGGGGATTTCACAAATTCCACTCCCAATGTCCCTGGAGAAGAGGAAGCAGGGAGGAGAAACAGTGGGCTTTCTTCTGTAAAACTCCAGGCTGAACGCAGGCGGGGCTCTCTGTTTTTGCTGAAATCAGGTGTTTTCGCTTCCTTAAGCCTTGCTAGCATGCTTATGACTACTCTCTGTCTCACATCTGAACTTCTTTTCTTGTGTGGACCCACCCCCAGGCAGGCTCACCCCATCCCCACAGGACAAGCATTGTGTTTTCTTCTCAAGCCTGCCTTGGCTGTGTTACACTTGTTCCATTCAGTTTGATCCAGCCCTTTCTTTGCACGGCCCTAGTAACTACAAACCTGTGTCAGACAGTTCCTGTGATACACAGATTAGGAGACTGGACTTCAAATGCCGGCCCGACCCTGATGACCTCCACGGGGCGTGAGGGCAAATGCCAACTCACAGAGGTCTGATTGTTTCCGATGAACACAAGGGAAGAGACTTTCTCCCACCTCCCTTTCCTTTCAGAATTCTTTTCTTTTTCTAATGTATGTTAAACCTTCTTAAGGGCTAAACAAGCCTCCTGCCAGTCCCATAATTCAGGACGGGTTTCCCGAGGGTCTGGGAGTCACTGCTTTGAAATGTGATCATCAAGGAAGATAAGGCCTAATCTCCTCTGTTCTGGGAGCGCAGCGTCCAACCCGGCCTGCAGAGCCTACTTAGCGTAATGGGTTCTGCCCACTTAGCTGCAGACCAGAGTTAGATTTCTTTCTACTTTTGCAGTCCCCTTCCCGGTAGCCTGGGCTGCATGTCCTTCTGATTTAATGCTTATTCCATGATAAAATTGTTTCTTTCTCTTCTGCCTTTGTGGACAGGTTTTCTGGTTAAGGAGATTTTGTTTTTAATTCTATTCCTTCAGTAGTGGCCTTGGGCCAGTCACTTAGTCTCTGGAAGACAGCTCGATCTTAACAGGGTTCATGTGAGGTAAATAGAGTCTGGCACACAGAAAGCACTCAAAATTGTGAGCTCTTATTATTGCTATCTTTTGTATTTTTTCACTGACTTTTCATTGCATTTTGTTAGTAGATGGACCGTTTTCTATTTATCCCGCATTAATTTTGTTCTTTGGTTGGTTTTGCCATGTACTTTTTGCTTGAATGCCTTTTTGTTGTTTTCAAAAATGCTAATTCACAGTTAAGTGAATATTTTAAAACTGCTAACGGAGAGGATTTCAAATGTTCTTCACACAAAGATAAATGTATAGGGTGACAGATATGCCAGTTACCATGATCTGATCATTACACATCATATACATGTATTGAACTATCACACTTAGCCCCATTAATATGTTCAATTATTGTGCAATTTAAAATAGAAGTATATGCTTTCAAAATCCTTCTCATCCCCAAATGCCAACTTCTCTCTTGATGTTGACGAGGAAAAGTGTGACTGAACCCCTTGATCTCTGGGGCAGTGCCTAAAGTTCTCTCAGTCAAATGTACCACACACAGCCCAGTGCCCAGCACCCGGGGCGGGGGGTGCATCCTCTGCCAGCCCAGCCCTGGAGGCCCTCACCTTCGTAGGACCAGTTGTTGTTGAAGGTCTGCGTCAAGGCCTGCATCTCCTGCAGCAGGACCGAGTCTGCCTGCGAGGAGGTTTCTCCTCCATCTTCTTCCTCCAGGATCTCTTCTTCCTCCTCAGGGTCTGGGGAGTTCTGCATCATTTCCTCAATCTCCTCGATTACCTGGAGAAGGCACAGAGAGGATGCTAACTCTGCTCCCTCAACCGGAGCAGGTACAGAGAGGATGCTAACTACTCCCTCACCCGGAGCAGGTACAGAGAGGATGCTAACTACTCCCTCACCCAGAGCAGGTACAGATAGGATGCTAACTACTCCCTCACCAGGAGCAGGTACAGAGAGGATGCTAACTACTCCCTCACCAGGAGCAGGTATAGAGAGGATGCTAACTGCTCCCTCACCCGGAGCAGGTACAGAGAGGATGCTAACTCTGCTCCCTCACCCGGAGTGGGTACAGAGAGGATGCTAACTCTGCTCCCTCACCCGGAGCAGGTACAGAGAGGATGCTAACTGCTCCCTCACCCGGAGTGGGTACAGAGAGGATGCTAACTGCTCCCTCACCCGGAGGGGGACTAAGAGGATGCTAACTCTGCTCCCTCACCTGGAGGAGGTATAACTTTCCTCCTGGCTGGAGGGCCCCCCTGGCTTGAATTTTGATCAGTTAAGGATATTTCTAATTTGCTGCCTGGAAAATGCCTACAGCAATATTGTTTCTTAATAAATATTGAATACTAATAAACATAGATCTGACCAAAGACCTACCTACACTCTTCCTTTAATGGAAAGCACCCTTTAATGTAAAAGCTTTTCCAAGAGCTCCATTTAGACAAATGCTTATTGGAAATAAACTATTCTTTCAGGATGCAGAAAAGGGCTGGCTGGAAGGGAGAATTCACTTCGATTTGCTGAGCACTTTATTTCTAAGTGGAAAAATATTTGATCTAACCAACTTTCACACAAAACCCAGTCCATTAGCCGTCATGAAACAAATGACAGGAAGCAACACCAAGTGTTCCTAGAATAACTCAAAATGCAGAGCAAAACAAGTATTTCTCCAGAATTCACCAAGACAGGAACTAGAGCTTCCCAGTAACAAATAATAATAATAATAATAATAAAGATAATAAAATAGCAAAAGAGCAGGTAGGGTCTGGAGAACAGAAATGAGATAAGAAGCCTGGCTCAAATGTATCTGAAGATACAGCACAACTCGCAGAAATGGAAGATAGAATCAGATACCTGCCAAAAGGGATACAGGTGAATGAGGTAGTGCATTAACTGCTTTGTGAAGATGGTATAGGCAAAGAGTCCCCCTCAAATGAGCCTGTGCACAAGTCGGGTCACCACAGAGCGTTTCTGCATTTGTCTGTTCTTGGTGCTGGGAAGGACTCCACCTCCAAGGCCCCTGACCGAGGTCTGTGATGTGGATCTCTTCAAGGGGCTGAGAGTCTCCTACAGAGTCAATCCTGGTTTTACTCCCAACCTCTCTAGCCCAGGGATACCTAGACTTTGACTGCAACAGCACATCAGAGATGCAATGGAGTCAGATAACCCCTGTTAGGATCTTAAGGTTGAGTTTCTGCCTCTCTAAAAGCAGTTACCACTGTACCCATGGATGTGCTTCCCCCTGCAATTCACAAGAATAAATGCTAGTTCCTGTCTTTTTCTATCTGGTTCTCTTCAATCTCCTAATGTTCACCCCTTTCAAATGCCCCTTTTTGACCAGAGAAATGAAGAACAAGTTTACTAAAAAACACATTCAGACACTGAAGCCTCCCAAGGAGAGTTTTTTCAGATCAATTTTGAGAAAGTTTGGATGGGGTCTAGTTCAAGAAAACCTCCCATAAATATTTGTTTACTATAAAGCCAAATAAGGAAATCAGAGACTCTACGTTATTCTCCCTAAGTAATATGTTATTAAAACTAAAACCAGAAATGGGGCCAGAATTGTGAGACAGCAGGTTAAGCCACCACCTGTGATATGAGCACCGGTTGGACTCCCAGCTGCTCCACTTCCAATCCATCTCCTTGCTAACGCCCATGGGAAAGCAGCAGCAGATGGCCCAAGTGCTTGGGCTCCTGCCCCCATGTGAGAGACCCATATGGAGTTCCTGGCTCCTGGCTTTGGCCCAGCCCATCCCTGGCCATTGTGACCATTTGGGAGAGTGAACCAGCAGATAGAAGATCTCTCTGTCTATTCCTCTCCCTCTGTAAGTCTGGCTTTCAAATAAATAAAAAGTAAATCATTAAAAAAGAATAAAACCAAACCAAAGGTGGAGCACTCTTAGCTTACAAAGATGGAAGTGTCTCCAGGACTCCTTCTGGAAGGCTCAGAATGTTTTCTATGAAAGGTGGGAAGTTACCCGTATACACAGAAGCCTCACCTGCCACTGTTTTTGGAAGAACGGGTATTTGAGACCCCTGCTTGAATGCCCTGGCTTACAGGAGGCTTAGCCGGAAGTGAAGATAATAAACACCAGGCCTATCTCTGGCTATTCTCAAAGACTGACCCCTACCAACCCAAGGGTCAGGGATTACGTTTGTGTTCATGGCAGGCAGGTAAACTGAGGCACAAAGAGACATCAAATTCCTTATAAAAGACACTCGGTCATTAGCACAACCACCACAAGCCCATACAACTTTCTTCTGCCTTAGGTGGATATGGCAAATATTTTTCTTAAACCCTTTTTCTATCAAAATAACACAAGGTGCCCAGAAGTGAGAGAGACCCATACCTGATCCGCTGTGAGCAGAGGCTCCTCATTGATGCCAGAGTCATTTTCACTCTTCTCGTTGAACTCTTCCTCTTCCTTCTCATGGATCTAGAAGTAGGGAGAGAGGAGACGGGATTTTGATCGACTAAGAGGGCATTCCAGCTTTCCACTGTCCGTACAAGGAAATGGAAGAGCTGTCCGGAGTGTCATTCAATTGCCAGCGTACCTCCGTCACACAGCATGCACCACTGAGTCCAGTTTGGCCAGAAAAGGAGAAGCAGGAAGGAGTGGCCACCACCACTCTGAATCAAAGGAACAGCACTGTTCTGTGGCCCATAGACCGGTCATCACCAGGCAAACGAGGAACCTTGTCAAGGGGAGTGACACGGCAATGACCCCCGCAGCAAAGGCACACCTATTTTAACGAGGAGTTTCAGTCTAGGGGTTTGTTTCCAGATTCATCCAGCTCCCATTTTAAGGGGTTCACTGTTCCAATCCAAATAGTCGTGGCTTTCAGAAGTTCGTGCTCGGCCGTCCTGTTACTGGAATCTGGGCATGGTATCATAGCTGATAGAGGATGTGATGAATCATCGTGGGACTTGCGGACAAACAAGGACATAAGCCTTAGCCATTTTAGCTCCTTGCCCAAAAGCAGATCAAATTCCCTGGGGGGCTCCTTTATTCCTGCATTCTTTCAAAAAACCAGCTCCATCCCATGGTTCCTCACCCCACCCTCTGCATTCTTTTCCAAGTTTGAAAAGCTGGAGAAAAAACTGTACAAAGCTGCTCAGCTCTGCTCACTGCCTCCCCTCCAGACCTTTAGCCTGCTCTAAGCTAACATAAGACCCAGCCTGCTGCAAGGCTGGGCTTTTGGCCGGGGAACTTGCTCTGTGTGTATCCCAGCAGCTAGCCACCTCTGCGAATCCGGTCTCCTCCCTGTTCTGCCCTTCTCTCCTTACACATGCTACTAAATAACCTGCCCACATGAACTGCAGGACAAATTAAACAGAAAGAAAAATAGTGGAAGAGAAAACCGCTTGATCCATTTGTCCTTTGTCCCCCAAACTCCATAATCCTAAGTATGATTCTGAGAGTGGAACCACTGGAATTCTAGATGTTTAAGTCCAGTAGGATATTTATAGCCTACCTGGCTTTACTGACCATATCCCAGACTGTTACCGGTTGGCATCTATGTTCAAATTCTACACTAAATAAATCTCCTAACAAGCTCAGTGTCTAAAAGTCTAATTTGACGTTCCTACAGGGGGCTAGCTCTGCAGAGCCACTCCCATCCAGGAGTCAATCTAACTCCAAGAGCTGGCCTGATGATGCATCCCTTCCCTGGGGATGACATCCTTTTTATTCCAACAGGAAAGATCCCAGTTCCGATCCCAGCAATCATGTCGGAGGTCGTGTATCCTTAGAAACTTCTCCCCTCTTCTGCGAGTTCTGCTTTGGTAGACACCCCTGACAAGGCACATCACCTTCTATCTCCGTTTGCTTAGAACCAGGCCTATGTCACTATCAAAAATTAAGCAAATATATCTTTTTTTAATTTTTTTGACAGGCAGAGTGGACAGTGAGAGAGAGAGACAGAGAGAAAGGTCTTCCTTTGCCGTTGGTTCACCCTCCAATGGCCGCCGCAGCTGGCGTGCTGTGGCCGGCCGGCGCACCGCGCTGATCCGATGGCAGGAGCCAGGAGCCAGGTGCTTCTCCTGGTCTCCCATGCGGGTGCAGGGCCCAAGCACTTGGGCCATCCTCCACTTCACTCCCTGGCCACAGCAGAGAGCTGGCCTGGAAGAGGGGCAACCAGGACAGAATCCGGCGCCCCAACCGGGACTAGAACCTGGTGTGCCGGCGCCAAAAGGCGGAGGATTAGCCTAGTGAGCAGCGGCGCCGGCCGCAAATATATCGTAAGTGCCATCTGTGCTCCACCTGGGTGAGATGTAGGCCAGGCAGGCGACGGAATCATTTAAGGGGCTGGTGTGCCAGATGGCAACATCTATTTCTGCTGTGAAACCCATATGCTTCTGCCTCTGCCAAGTCTACCACCTATGGTAGCCCCCTGGTGCCCACAGCTCCCCGCTGGGCAGAACAAAACTCCTACAGCCATGCTTTGTCCACCAACCTCGCTCACATGCGGAGCTTTCTTAGGCCAGGAAGTCATGTGGTAGAAGTAGGGCTCTTACTGGGATAAGGAGTTTTTGTTTTCTGTTTGGGCTGTTGTTTTCTAAGCATCTGAAAGCAGCTGCTAGTCTATAAGTTGAATTAGCGAGGGGATGGTTTGGGGCTGTGGCATTAAATCTATTAAAAACGGGATGTTGACATTTTCTGAAATGTGGTCAGTGGTAGTGTTAACTTTATGATCTCCTTACGCAGCTGCCCTCTCTGAGATCAAGGCTGGGAGGGTGCTCCTAGGGAGAGGTCCTCCTGGCTGTTTAAATGTTAATGAACCTGGGCTGGGGCCTGAATGGCACTCTTAGAGCTTCCTTCCTGCTCCCTCCCTCAGGCACAAAGCCTACCGTGCGTTGTCGGGCTTGAGTAAGAAGAGGTCTGGAAATCAATTATAAGCTCATGGATTTCAGCTGCACCGACTTCCTCCTATTATGGGAGATATACCCGCCCCTTATTTTCTCAGATCCCAGAAATCTGTCACTAAAAGGTAAAATAAAAGGAGAAGCATACACAAGGACCCTGCAAGAAAGCCCTAGTGGCTTCCTTCTGCCTGAGGACTCCCCCTCCCTCTGGGTCTCACCACATCCACCCCTGGCTGCTTTGGTTCTGACTCTCCCCCGCCTCTTGGCCCTCTCTGCCGGCTCCTGAACTCGCTGTCAATCCAACCACACTTGCACTGCTGCCCTAGCTCTCGTCACCTCTCAACAGCCCCTCTTCCCTCCACGCACATCATTTATCGACTCCACCCTCCCCTCCCTAACCAGGACAGAGTGGGAAGCCCGAGGGGGACTAACAGAGAGCATGAGAAAGAGAAAGCGTTTTTTAAAAATGACCGCAGCTGGCGCGGTGGCTCACTAGGCTAATCCTCCACCTGAGGCGCCGGCACCCCGAGTTCTAGTCCCGGTTGGGGCGCATGGGCCTTAGCGGCCACTTGCGGGGGTGAACCAAGGGAAGGAAGACCTTTCTCTCTGTCTCTCTCTCCCACTGTCTAATTCTGCCTGTCAAAATAAATAAATAAATAAATGAATGTAGAGAACCTTCCCTAAAGCCTGTAACATGCTAAATCTTATTGTACAGTAGTCCAAGTGGGGATTAAAATTATGTGGAGTCCTTGTGCCCTACACAGACCATAACCAGTGTCTTCTGTTAAAGGACTCCAGGTGACTCCATGCATAAGGAAGGGAATTTACAAGTGACTAAGATACCACTTGGGACCCCTGCATTGCACATCGGAGTAACTGGGTTCAAGTCTCAGCTCCCACCCCAACTTCTTGCTAAAGTACAACCTGAGAGGCAGCAAGTGATGGCTCAAGTACATGGATCCCTGCCACTGCCCTGGGAGACCAGGGTGGAGGTTCAGGCTCCTGGTTTGGCCTGGCACAACAACAGCCCTGGCTGTTGCAGGCATTAAAGGAGTGAACCAGCAGATGGAAGAGCTCTCTCTTTCTCTCTTCCTGTCTCTCTCTCTCCCTTTCAAATAAATGAAAAGAAATAAAACTTTTTAAAGGGGAGTTGCTAATGAGTATTTAGCTACTTCTCCATAATATTTCCCTCCCCTTACAACCCTTGTTTCCTATAAGTGGTTGCTTCCTTGACCAGAATTAGGAAAACAGATACATTTTTATCTCCAGACAAAAAGTAGAAAAATAAAATTCATCTGTATGTACCCAACTGAAGGAAAAGACAATTTTTGGCCCTTTCACTCTTGTGAACAAGCAGGAAGCAATTATGTGGGCGAGTCAATGGCTCTGTATTCCCCTAGTGATATGTGCCAGAACAGGGGCCAACAAATACTTGATGGAAGAATTGAGGAGCAAACAAAAATGAAAGCACTGAAGGGTAGATAACTGCTTCCTAGTCACCTGGAAAGCAGAAAGATGGAACTGACTATGCTGGACTCCCACTTCCTCTTGTCCAAGATAACTACTGTCTGCTATCAAGCTGATTAATGGAAAAACCCAATGAAAGTGGAGAATTATTAAAAATAACAATACTATGGGGCCAGCTTTGTACTGCAGGGGTTAAACCACCACTGGCAATAGCAGCATCGCATATCAGAGTGCTGGTTCAAGACCCAGCTGCTCTACTTCCTATTTGGCTTCCTGCTAATGTACCTGGGAAGATAGAACATAATGGCCCAAGTGCTTGAGCCCCTGCCACCACCCACGTAGGAGACCAGGCTGGAGTTCTGGGTTCCTGGCTTCAGCCTGGTCAATTTGGGGAGTGAACCAGTGCATGGAACATTTTTCTTCTCTCTCTTGTTCTGCCTTTCAAATAAATTAATCAATCTTTTAAAAAATACTAATCATGTGTACATACATATATAACTCAAGCATATTACCTTGCCCTAAAAATGCAAATATACATTTATTTACTCTCCAAGCTCCTAATCTAAGGCCAAGCTTCTATGATAAGTCTCTGAGCAGAGTTCTACAAAGTCTTTCTTATATCACCCATCACCCACCTTATAATATAATTTGTAAAATGATTTCCTGTGTCCATTTATTTATAGTAGGAGCAGGGTTCTGTGGTTTTAATGTGTCCCCAGAGGCTTTATGTGTTGGAGGTATGGCCCTCAGTGTGGTGGCTTTGGGAAGTAGTGGGGCCTTGAAGAGGTGCATCTTGGTGGCAGGTCCCTGGATCTCTGGGGCTGCCCTCAGAAGGGATTAAGGCAGTTCTCATGGCACCCAGGGAGCTGGCTTGGAAGTGGAGCAACTGGGACACGAACTGGTGCCTTTATGGGATGCCTTTGTCATATCAGCGGCCTTGCCCGGTACACCACAACACCAGATACAATAAACAAATCTTTAAAAAGCTCTGCCTCCCTTAAACATGTCCCGTTTCAAATAATTCATCAAAAAACTAGAAAAAGTCCTCAGAAATTAAAAGTATGATACTAAATCTAGATTTTCCAATAGAGCTGAAGGTTGTAA